TGGCATAACAGTATTATTCTTCGTGCCCTAACAATAAACAATGAACCACTTATTGTCTGATAAAACAGCAGTCCTGTGTGGACCCTTGTGTGAAGACCATCACTGTCTCAGAACAAAGTGCACCATCCAGTTTTAGACGGTGTTGGCACTGCTTTAAGAAAATGAAATACAATGTAGAAAATTCAGATTCAGAAAGCTGTCTTGGCGATATCATAAAAGTCATCAAAGGAAAGTCATCAAGGTGGCAGTAAATTCATTTTCTGTCTCAATTAGGTAACAATTAGAATTATGACATTTGTGCTATAATGTGATCTACCATGAATACATGAGGGAGCTGCCTGTCTGTCTAAACATGGCCTTGTTGCCTACTTGTTGGGCCACTGTGGCAAGGAGTACAAATTATAATAACATAAAAATACATACAATAAGAATAAATAATTCAAGATTTTGAGCATGGCAGTTTTTCATGAAATACTTTACCAATAAAATTTATTTTTTAACAGCAGACTAAATTGTTTTGTTTTTTTGTTTGTTTTTTTGTCCTCCATATAACCCCATATTGACTGCTTTTAAATGTAAAATGTTCCATATTTTGCTACTCTCGAAACCAAATGGTAGCTCAGCAATTAGTTAATACGCTAATTAAGCAATCAGTTGATCAAAAGGACATTCATTGACAACAATTGTTGGCTACTCATCGATTATTTTAATCTTTTAAGTCAATTATTTGGCAAAAACACCAAATATTTGCTGTTTCCAGCTTCTCAAATGTGAGGATTTGCTGCTTTTCATATATCATTTCAAATTAAATATCTTTTGGTTAGTTAGACGGACAAAATAAGCAATTTTAAGACGTAACATTGGGCTCTCAGAACACGTGACTGGCTTTTTCACTATTTCCTGATATATTATAGATTTTATAGGTGAATCAATAATAAAAAATATTCAACCTAATTCCGTTTCAAGTACTTAAGTATTCCTCTATTGTATCCAGACTTGCCAAAGAGTACATGCCTAATCCCATATTTGGTCATCTTGTGATCTCTGCATTGTCTATTTCCTCTTTTTTTTTCTGTCTTCCTGTGTTTTTTCCTGTTAACTGTGAAATTAAATCCTCTTTTTCACACTTCCTTCCCTTCCTGTATTACTCTTAAATGTTTATCCCTTTGGGTGTGTTTCTCACCCATAATGCCATGGTAACTGAGGTAATTGTTGCTGATGTCACTCCTTTCAATTGAGCAATTGGGAGGTGGGACCTTTATTTTATTCAGCCGATGCCTGTAATAGCAGCAGGGCGCACCGACAACCACCAGGTGGGATAAGTGAGCTGTGTGTCTGTGTGAGCACTGTGAAAGCTGAGCCATACTGGCAACAGCAGAACGTTCCCATACAACAATTTCAATCAATGGATAAACTCTTGTTTCTACTTTCTTTATGTGAAGTAATGAAGTGTGTAGGACATTTTTTTAAAGCATGGCTCACCATTTTGTTGTAGTTAAAAACACTATTTTTGTCAGCCCTAATTCAATGAATATTTTAAACTGATTTCTTCTTTTTCTCAACCTTAAATATATCTCTAAAATATTCTATATAAAAAAAGATAATTTTGTAGAATCAAATCGTCTTTTCAACAACAGTTTGGGCTCAAGCAATCCAAACCTGACCAATAATATGGAACCAGAATCTCATCAACATGTTTTTATGTACACAGGCTTAACATAAACTCTTTCTAATCCCTGATGTGATACAGCACTGCAGTTCCACACCAGATTTGAGATGGGCCTACTCCTACCTACCTCCTAATTAACCTTCTCTCTCTCTCTCTCTCTCTCTCTCTCTCTCTCTCTCTCTCTCTCTCTCTCTGAACTGAAATGGACTTCTCTCCTGTACTCATAGGAAAGTAGACTAGACAAAGTAGTAAACGATGATTGCTAATTCTAAAGTTTAAAAAAACACGCAGAGAAATTGTTTTTAAAACACATTTCAGTTTATTTTATACTGGATAAAACTAGAAACAATAAAAATGACAGCATTCTTTAGCAATGGCACTTCAGCAATGGTTATTTAGAAGGGGCATACATTAAATGTACATTCAAATTATTGGAAAATAAAGTTTGTATTGTGTTTATTTGCACAAAATATATTTTACACTGTCCATTTCAACTTTTACCATTTATACCACATTTATGAAAGATGATTAAAAAACAGTTTGTCCCGGTGTGTAGGCTTCATCTGCACAGATGAGTTAGGATAAGCACAGTAATTTATTACTGTATATCATTAATTTCCCACCTGTGTTGCTTTCATTTCATGTTTCACAAAGCAGAACTTCTAAAAACATGTTCCAAATATTGCAACGTGAGTGGTGGTCTTTTGACATGTCAAACAGTAACTTCTTGAATACTTGGAAATTCTGTGAAATCTATTCATCAAACCAAAAACATGCTCATAAGATCCACATTTGTTTGACAATTTATTAAATGTACATAAAATAATTACCATATTTCATGGCTATTGACAGATTATCTGTAGAATATGGCTAAATTACATCACCAAGGGATGGAGGTTTCCTCAGACAAAGCATTGTTTTTGTTTTAAATATGAAAACTGATTTAAATTCAAGTTAATTTATTTGAGTTCATTTTATTTAATTCAGTTGAGTTATTTTCACCTGTCATCCATAGCAACCAACCCCATCCTGTAGCTCTGGTGTTCTGTCTGTGCCTCAGTAAAAGTTGCTCAGCAGCTTTGTGAATACAGTGGCTCTTAACTTTTGGAAAGTGTTTTATTCTGTATTTCAGATGGAAAAAGCAAATATGTGAGAAGTAAGAAAAATGAACAATCTTGTGTAGCAGAAACATTTTTCTTTATCTAGGGAATGACTGCATTAACAACAGTTGAGGCAGTGAATGCCTCAAAAATGCTTTGAATCAACATTTATCTGACAGTCTCATATTATATTTCCTACAAGGATAGTATTAATAGCAGTGCTGTTCGCTACTTGTTATTCTCTCCACACCCAAAACATTTAATCTCCGACCCACACCAAAACGTCTTTTTAAAAATATCTTATAGTGTAACATACTGAATGTAACATAACTCTTGTATTAAAAAATGACATTATATAATAATTGATCGTTCTTTATCTGTAAATTAAACCTTGACTCATCTCAACTATCAAGATTGTTATTGAGGACGTAAACATCTAAATACCTGAAACACTCATTCACAGTAGAAACATACCTCTGTTATCTGCAGATGAGACGCTCCCTGCTTCCTTGTCTCATTTAAAAACGAAGCACACAACAGTGTTTTTTACAAGTGTGTGTGATTGGGTGTGTGTATGTGTTGTGACATGCGGTATGAAAGGGGATGACATTTTTTTGCTCCTTGACCTTTAACTTTAACCTGTGTACAGCTCCGAGCTAGAAGGGATGGGAAACAAGATGTCCTTATGAGAGTCAGACATTGCAGCAGTAGGTTTTAGTGATAGTGTAAAACTTCCAGGTGTTTTTCTAACTTTCAAAAGTCTCATCACACCTGTGGCTTCTCTAATTAGCTCAACCCTATTTGACCGGCTTCTTCTTTTAACTTACTTCAAGCCAAAACGTTCCTCCTCCCTTTGTTTTATTGCTATCCCAGCTGAGGTTAGTCTTGAGCAACCACAAGGATTACAACACAATTTCTTGTCTGTCACAAAACCCAAATTCAGACTTGTTTCCACTTGCCTGTGAGAGTGCAATTCAAGGAAAACTGCATTAGAGTTGCCTCAGGAGAAAAAGTGAAAGTGTATTCTCTCTTTACAGGATTAATTTGCACTGGCACTGCTTGTTTTTTTTTTCAGATTTCACAACCCGTGTACACTCTAGTATTCAGTCTGAGAAACACACTCCAACATGGCCAGTAAAACAGAGGAGATTCAATTACTGTTTTTTTATTACAGTCACGCAGCTGACCATGAATAGAACTGAAATCAGCTGATTTTGCCCTTAAGGACTTAGAATCACTTCACGTTTTCCATAATTTAATTATAAATAAAGAACAGTGGCCCAGTGTTCCAATGAATGCTCTCGCAGTGTCAGGAACTGGTCAAGCCAGCTTTCTTCAAAAGCCCGGAGCCACATCCTCACCCAGGAACTTTATCTCATGACTCAACAACATCTTTTTATGGCTGAGACTTTCTACCCAATACAACCAGGCAGAGAGGACACAAGCTGATCCCTCCCAATTTTATTACGGTACAGTATCAGCTGCTGAATGTTTACTTCCAGTATGTGCAGTTAGGTTGAGGGTGGAGACTTGAGGAGGGAGGGACAGGAGGACCCACCTGTCAAGAGAAAAGAATCTGACAGCAGAGCGCCGCTGCTACCTACTGAAGAGTCTCAGAGGAGTGCAGGAGAGTAATGCCTACTAGCTAAGGGAAGCACACTGGTGGCGGTGTCTATCCATCGACTGCACAGAGGGAAGATCAAAATGGGTGGCAATATAAGTCAGAAGAAGGGCAGCAGACGAGCCAGCTCAAGGAGTCACGCCAACAGTGTCATGTGAGTCAGATCACTCACCTGTTTGATGCAGATTTAACAGTGCATTAGAGACAACTCATTGACTTGTTTGTATTGTTTACAGTTGAACCAGAGGCATTTTACCTCTCCCATATTACTAGTTGATATGTATGTTGTATGTTGTAGGTTGTGTGCAGTTCTAATAGTAACAGAAGCAGCAAGAATATGAAACCTGTGCTTCTATATTTTACAATACTGAGCGTATAACTGAACTTTCTTCCAACTGGTATGAGTGGCCTCTGTCCAGGCGTACACTTGCATGCACATGCAAATATTCACACACCCTCAAAATGGACCACAGATAAAGACTGCATACAGATGAACTGTTAAACATGTTTGCTCAGTGGCCTTACACACAAATGTGGATGTGTGTCTGTGTGCATTTGAGCAAACACATAAAGACAATAAAATAGTCAGTGAATCATAAAGCACAAAAAGTTTGAGCATGTTCAAAATTTAATGTGCAACATTAAAAAAGGGGAGGGTGGGGGGAAAGTGTTACACCAAGCCGTTGTGACTGGTTTAACATGATCAGTTACAGGGTTGTCTAAACAGATACACAGTTGTTTCATTACAGCATGATCTCATTGTGAGAAATATAGCTTCACTGTGTTAATATTTGCTTGAGGTGATTCATGTCCTCTTTGTTCTGGGTGGCAGCTCTGCCCTCCTCTGTAGGTTGGACTACATACACACTGGACCATGAAAACACACACACTGCTGTTCTTGTTGGGACTGTAAACGTTCCACACACTTCACTTATGAAAGAAAGGTGGGGGAAAAAAACCACACATTCTACAACCACAACTAGTGACTTTTACACTCTAAAATGCACAGCACTTTGACAACCAGTTGATAGATAGTGTTTGGACATAATTATGGTCACATTCTGCTCTCTTCAGCGATGTTTCTTTAAGGCTGAAGGCTGAGTAAAGACAAACAGGAAAATAACAGTATTTTCTTTGCTCACTGTACTTTACAGACAGTAGATCACATTTCATCAGAAACTAAAGAGACTCCCTTTGCTCATTTGCATCAAACAAAATCCACAATAAATACATTCACTCTCATGTATTCCTAACTTTGGCCGTCAGTATCAACACCTGCTTGTGCATTTGTGGTCTCGGTCTCATCCGCTTTGACCCAGGCTTTGGGTGATCTGTTCTTCTGTGGTTTAGGGGACAGCATGTCAGGTTGGCACGAATCTGCAAATCTCTCACGTGCTTTCTCCCAGTTCTTCTGGGACTTTGATCGGGTCACAGAGACACCATCTAGAGACATGGCGGCACCGGCCCCCAAACCTGACTGGGACTTTCTGATTTTCAGTTCAATCTGTGGAGAAGAGAAATGAGAGAGAAAAGGATTTTGTTGCTTCACAACAGATTTTAGTCAAAACAGAATCTGCCTAAAGGACATCACCAGATTGTCTTACCGGGGCTTTCATTCCTGTTCCCTCTTTACCCAGCCCCTCTCCTTTCTTCCAGCCCATCTTTTCCAGCATTTTCCTTCCTTTATTGACTTCACTGATCTCCCTTTAAGAAGACAAGTAAGAAGACATGATTACCATTGAATCCATTATTTTCTTTCTCTAGCATTTACACTCATTGACAAAAGTACTTACTGATGGACAGAAGCGGGTGCATCATCTCGTTGGAAAACACCCTCACTGCCTACTGTCTGTCGTCGAGACTCTGCTCGGTCCTTATATCTGGGGTTCCTCAGGGCTTTGACCTCTTCATACTCACTGCTCTGTTTACAGAAAAGCACACAGGTGGTTAGCTGCATAAAGAGATGAATGGGGGTTTAAAACTTAACCAGGCTGCTGCTTGTCCTAACACTCACCTGCAGGCCATATTTGGCCTTCATCTGCTTCAGCTCCTTTTGTCTCAGTGCTTCTTTATCCTCTTTGGTAAGAGAAGGGCCTTTGGGAAGATACAAAGTAAAGCTACATCTTCTGTATCACTGCTGCTGTGAATCTGTGGTTGTTTTCTGTTAAGGTGGCTCACCTGTGTTCTCTTCTCTCCTGTGCTTGCTGAGGTGAGCCATCACCTGACCCGGCTCACAGCCGTCACACGTATCGGTCCCCGAGTGGATATGGAAGGACAGCACAGTCTCTCCCATCTTCACCTCATCTCCGTGCATCAGTGCATGTGGCTCACACTTGGTTTTGGGCTGAAAGAGAGATTTGTTGATCCCGTCACTGCTGAGTTTTAGTTTTACTGTTTTATTTAGAGGCAACAAACTGAGAAATGTTTTTTTTACCTGTAAGATCCTGTTGCCATTGATGACTGTTCCATTCTGGCTTCCCTGGTCCACCAGCATGTAGCTCTGCTGCTCCTGGTCAAAGTACACCTCTGCATGGAACTGGAAGCAAACACAGTTCACAGTGAGAAGCATCACATAACCCTGCAACATGCAAAAGAAATATGTCGATCCCTGGAGAAAAATAATAGTTGAGAGGGGTACCTTGCTCACTCCCATTTCTGGTATTCGGATTGCATGGTCCATATCTTTCTCTCTGCAAACAAGAAGACAGCAGGTTGTCTTCAGTGAGTTTTGTGAGCCATTTTTTTCAACTTACTAATTGATCAATTCCTCATATTTTCACTACTTGTTGTCCTGTAAAGCTTCGTCATTCTGTCTTTGGTACTGCACCCTTCGCAATAATGTTTCCCACTGTGGCCACCTATTCTAAAAACGACAAGAACTCACTTTTGCTTGGTACAAAACTATCTATTTATTGAACTCCTGCTGCTACACAAGAGAGAAAGAAGCACAAACCTGCCAAAGGTGGCTGGAGAGTCGGCTGTGATGATGAACAGAGTGCCCACCTGCAGCACTGGAGATCTGACCACTGTCACTCTTACACAGGGTGGCCAAATGTCTTTCACTGCAAGAAAAGTAAACCAATTGCAGTGAAATGGGAACATAGCAGCCTCAGAAAACAAGTGTTGGGAACAAATGACAGCTGATGATCCAACTAGCTTGTACCAGAATAATTAATTGAGAAGATGTGTGTCTCAAACAAGCTCTGAAATTGGGCTTGTTTTTTCTCACCTTCCTGACTCTGAGTCTCCATTTCTGACTCTGGGCTTTCCTTGGAGGAGGAGCTGGATGACGAGAACGAGGGTGTGGACTCCCACTCCTCTTTCTCTGACCCTGTGATCTCCCCCTCTTCCGGCTCACTGTTCCCCTCTGAGTTATCGCTCTGAGCCGGGCTCTTTTTCTTCTTCGCCTTTTTTGACTTGGATTTCTTCCTTTTCTTCCTTGATCTACCCTTATCATCAGAGTTTGAGCTGTTTTTCTGCTTCTTCCTCTTTGACGAAGATTTGTCGCTCTCCTCCCGGTGTCTAGAAGAGTCTTTTCTACGTGGAGCCACATCTGGACTGTGAGACCTTCGGCTCTGTTTTCGTGATTCTGTGGTCCTCTTCGTTGTTTGCTGTTCGACCCACTCAGTTTCTTCTTCTTCCAGCTTTACCTCATCAAATATGAGTTCCTACCATCAGACAGTCAACAGTGAGATTATCATCTGCGGTGATGTTCACTGACAGCGTGCAAGCACAGGCTTTGTAGACCCCTTGTTCCATGCCATGTCTGGCATGTTTTTTGTATATGGTGTCAGTCTTCAAAGACAATTCACTATAGACCTCCACCCAATTTCAGGATTAATAGGAGACATCTACAGCACCCAGTATTTAAAGCACAGGTGACCAAATCCTTCAGTCATTTGTGGTTCATGACACATGTAAATAAAGACCATCTGAACAGTGTTTGATATCCTACAATATGAAATGACTGAATGCTTTATATTTCAAACTATCTTCCACTTGGGTTTAACTTTTCTAGTTTGGCCATCACATTATTGTGTTGAAATTCACTTACTTTAGAGTTGTATATACAACACTGGGGATGATTTCAGCACATTCAAATATCTTTAAAGGTGTTGCTTGTGTGAAAAGCAGAATCTGCCGCCTTTATTGAAACTGTATGAGTGATTTATGACTTTGTATTCCTCCTATTGTGATGGCAAAACCATTGAATTAAGGCCCAGGTTAAAATTATCTTGAACTTTTCTTATGAATGGTTTTGCATGTTGGTATTAAAGGAGTACCTCTGTGGGAAGCCGTAATCCAGTAAGAAGAAATCTTCATATTAGCCAATGAGTTAGTCACCTCTTGCACCTAGGTCAGAGGATAATCTTTTAGTCAACTAGCTTCGTATTTACACAAAAAAGACAGAAAGCAAGTATTTGAAGACTGAGACCAATAAAGTCATGAGGATTTGAAAGCTCACAGTTTTAAAGGGGAACTACAAAGTCTACAAAAGCCAGCTGTCAGCCACCAAGAATAAAATGCATCTATGTCATGCGTCAACAAAAGATCCAGGTGTGACATACCTTATCGTCCTGGTGTGAGCTTTTCTTGGACTCTTTCTTAAACTTTCTGCCCTTCTTTTCACCAGTGCTCTTGTCTTGGGAAAGCTCTGCAGCAGTTTGTGCAGCAGGCACTTCGATCCTGGAATGAAACTGGTATCGTCCACTCTCCGCATCATAGTAGTAGTAAATGCCTGTGTTGGCATCGTAGTACAACTGACTGGCCTGAGGAAGAGAAAACATGTACAAGATCAAAACACTACCTGCTACTAAATTAATTCTACTATAGACAGCTTATTTTGACTGAAAAGGGTGTCTGACGAACCGAGTCGTAGTAGAATCCTGTGCTGTGGTCGTAGTACATCCCCGTGGTCTCATCAAAGACAAACCCAGTCTGTGTCATAGCCTCTTCAGCAGTGGCTCTCAACATATCAGCTATGGATCCTCCATCGCCCTCCTGAGAGATAATACCATTTGTTGGTCAGAACGTGAACTCTAATTTATAAATTCAACAACTAGATTCATACCAACATCTTGTCATTTCAGTTTTGGGGATTAGTGTTGATACAATTCTGATCTCTTTTTTTTGTCATTCACAAATTGGTTCAAACACACCAATAAAACAAACCTCTGTTGAGGCTGCAACACTGTTGTCAGGTTGTCCTGACACATCAGCGACTGCTGCTTCATTTGTTGTTGAAACCTCTGCTGCCTCGCCGCCATCTGCTGCATCCACTGCTGCTACTGTGTTCAGGCCTTCCTGAGTGTCTGAAGCCTCTGGGTTCTGAGAGCAGCCTCCATAATAATAGTTGTAATAATCTGGAAAGAAATATTGAAGAATTTGTTTGTTGAACAGTTCACTCACTTTAAGACTACCTGAAATGCTTATCTAATGAATTAATGTACATAAGATACACACCGGTTTCTGTCCATACGTATTCTTCTGTCTGAGTTTCACAGTTTACTCTGTCTTTATCCTTCTTCTTCCGTTCATGAATCTCTGCGCTCAGCTGGGCAACCTACAACAATATATTTCAGGTCAATTTAATTGGAAAACATTATTGAAACACTCACTGTAATAACAAATTCATGGGATTATCATAATTAAAAAATGTCAGATTGATTTAATTCAGGGTTTTCCATAATGTTTTACTGCAGACATGGAGCGCCTAAAATAAAGACCACTAATATTAATACACATTAACCATTAGAGAAAGAATCTATTTCACACAGCAAATGCTACAGATTTTGAGAGTGTGTTTATTGGTTATTAGGCATCTATGAAGGGAAGTGATCAAGGTGAGAAGTGTTACTGTAAACCCTGCCATATTGTCAGCAGAGTCATGACACAATGGAGGAATAATAGGGAGGGCGTTCAAGTGATTGTATATCAGGCATCTTCACAACTAAATATAGCCTTCAGGGCGAATACAGCTATATCTCATATAATATGGGTAACATGTTCATTTTCAATTATTAACATAACTTTTTTTGAAATGTTTGATACGTAATGACTTTTTGCTGCCTATATTAACACCAAAGCAGATAGACTGATAGCTCACCTGCGGTCTGTATAAGATGTAATAATGGTAATGTCTGTCTGTACACACTGACCTGTTTCCTCAGGTCTTCGTTGTAGCTCTCGGTGCTCCTCTGCAGTCTTTCGGACTGGTTCAGCTGTTTCTGTAACTTGGCCAGCTCGGCTCTGCAGCCGTGGAGCTCCCGCTTCAACGCCTCTACTTTCAGACGGAGCTCAGCCTCTTCAGTCTCGGTGTCGTTTTCTCCCTCCTCGGTCTCCATTAGCTCAACTGAAGACGTTAACATTCAACTTTATAACTTGTGTAGGAAAGCAGCTTCAGAGTATTAGCCATAGTAATCGGAGGCCAGCTCGCCTGTTGAGTCAACAGACAGTAGATAGCAGAGAAATACTGAAATAACTCAACTATAAATTGTTACGTTCACTAACCGCTGCCGCTCATTAACGGTATTAAACCGACTGACAGTAACGGTCGCTCGGTGAGGGTCTTACCGTTTGTTCCGTTTTCGTCTCTTTGGCAGTGAATTTCCTCTCAGCGCGGCACATGAACCGACCTGAAAGTTGAAAAAGGACATTTTGTAACTACCCTGTATGTCCGACACAGTCGAGTAGATGTTTTGATGATAATTAGACAGTTACAGTTATAACCGTGGTAATGTTTACTGTCCACCCCGCTAGTAACCGCCATTTACTAGAGGCTAACTACGTCACAAAACGGAAGTACTTCTTCTTCGGGTTTGGCGGACTTCCCTTTGGCGCTGTAAAATCTGACACAGGTAGAAGAGCTTTACTGCCACCCAGCGACGAACTATTTTCATAGTTTATCAGTAAAAACTAGTAGTACGTTTGTTTTTTTTTATCTTTTATCTTTTACCTAACTTCCGTGCCCTTTCACAATGTCGGATTTATGTTCTTGGTGGCGGCACATTTTACTACGGAGTCCGGTAAGTGTCAGAAAACAACATACAGTGCGCCATCATCGATGTGCTTCATCTGCTCTCACTTTTCACAATTGTCTGCTCCGTTATATTTATTATTGTAGAGAGCACTAATCTTCCTCCCGCGGACATTAGATGACAGGCTTGTGATGTACGTTGACATGATCAATAGTTTGATTTTATTTGATTTTTGATTTTTGATTCTAAACATCTGAAAATGTCACTGACTTCAAAATGTTTTTATTCTAAGAGGTTCTTGTTATGAAGTTGCTGTGTTCCAGGGAAATAGCAAGAATGTATATTTATGCAGTGTAATAATTGCTTATTATAAATTCTAGAGGATATAATAGCTGTGTTATTAAATACTAAAGTAGAAGTATATTGTATTAAAGGCTTTAGTGCGTCTTATAATAACTCATAGACTGCATTATGATATTATGGAGGACTTAAGTATAGTTGATCAGTGTGCAATAGTGGCCATAGTGAATGAAGTCTGAGCTGTATACGTTGATGCATTATTTAACAATATACGTGCCATCACAAGGTGTTGTTGTGTGCTTTGACCACTAGATGTCACTACAACACATTGATCCTGCTACTTGACAATTATGTGATATTATGAGCAGGCCTGCTTTCTTGACCTGAGAAAATACTGATCTCTGGTAGAATGTGATGATTTTAGGATGATTTTATCTGCTAATTAAAAGATGTTCACACTATTCAGTTCGGCTGATATTTTAGTTTAGAAGTCAGAACTTGTGTATGCTAACGCAGGCTAACTGTGAACACATTGTGTCTGTCAGTGGCCCTTGCTCCACATGTCCTTCCTCTTCCTCCTCTGTTTCTCAAACACACACATCTTCGGGTCACATTTTAATTCACTTCCTCCCACTCTGTGTGTCTATAGTACACTTATTTCAGCCTCCAGAGAAAGGGCTGTTACATAATGATGTGGCTCCACTATTGTCCTCTAAAAATGAATGTGTTTAAAGTATTATACTGTAGACGCAGTGTAAATATACCATGTGCTCATGTGTACATTTTATCTTTGCATTCTTTCAGGCACTTGAGCAGCTTTGTTAGAAAAATACTGGATGTTAAGCCTGACATGGAGACTAAACATAGATGTGTCATCCGTCACATTTGTACTGAGACAGGCAGAGTCTGAGTTGTTGTGTGGAGAAGTTGGGAAGGTCCAGAATTGTTTTCCTTCTAGCTTCAGTGACTTTCTGTATTCTCCAAAAAGCCTTTTGGGTTCCTCCCACTGTGTCTGAAATCTGAGCTCTTTTGAGTTGTGTTTGGATTTTGGTGGAGCGTCACACTTCTTGGCAGGACCTCTGGTGTCTGTGGTGGTGGTGGTAGAGCAGCCTGTAAGAATGGGGTGGTCTTTTATCTGGAGACACACACAGCTGCCCCACAATACCTACTGATGTTTATTGATGCCATTTTTAGACTAGAAATAACAAAGCTGTCATCTGTGAGTATGACTGGTTTGGTTTTCAAAGGAGTGGAAAAGCGGATGGTAGTGAGTTCGGTTTTCTTTAGTATGTTTCTAAAAAAAACTGTCAACAAATAGTCATGATTTTATGTTAGGTATGGTAATGGGAACCATTTCTTATGTAACCTACTTATTCCTGGCTACCAGGAGTCTTTACTAGCTGGTGCAGGGAGCTGTTTAGAATAAACAGAGAATCCATGGAAACAAAGAGTTCAATGGTCTTATAGACTTATAAGGATACTTTTATTGTGAAAAATAACCTCTATAGATGCAGAAAACACACGTTCCCTTTAAGGTTTCTCAGGTGTTTGTGGCCTTGTCTATTAATCAAATATGACCTACGGTGTTGATCAAGGATTATTCACAAGGATTTCCGCTCATAACGTGTGGAAAGATAGTGATCTTTTTTTTAATATGCCTGAGTTAGTGAGGGATTCCTTAGACTTAGGAAATAGGAACACCTGGTGTTTTTGTGAGCAAACACTTCAAAGAGAAGAAAGAGATGCGAACCCTGGGATAAAAGCACAAATTGATCCTCGTGCTCCAGTGATAATCTCTTTGTACTACTCCTTAACTACTCCTTGCACATGATCAGTGCAAGCAGGGATTGCCCTCACCCCAACCTCAAGCTCCACCAGACCCAGACAGTAAATAAGTGGGTGGGGGACCAGCTCCACCCTTTCTGGTCCAATGTGGAAACTCTGAGCCTGACTGAGGCACGTGTGTCTGTGCTCCTCCACTGGAATTTGGGAGGAGTTTCTCTGCTGCGTGGCCCAGTCAGACCCTGGAGGAGTTTCTGGAGGAGGGGTACAGTGTTAGAAAACAATACACACAGGATGCATTATAGATATACCGTTCAAGTGTTCTTGAAAAGGTAACCAAATTACCATTGCAAACACTGCTGCAAATGTGGGTCAGATTAGCCATTCATAAGAGATTTGTCTTCCCAAGGTAATGTATGCACAGAGGAACAGAGTCTGTTAAATCCCTGTTGGTTGATTTCAACTGCCTCTGTTTCTATATGGTTTATCTGTGTCATGATTTATGGGACTGTTCCTGTTGACAAAATAAATACATTTGAGTTGAGTGACAAATTAGAGGATATAAAAACATTTCAAGTCTATATTAATGCAGTATTCACTTCATTCATTTGTACAATGAAAGATTTATCAGTGGTTATAATCACCCCTCCTCTCAATACTGGACATGAATTGGCCTTGTTGATTTATTGCTTTAAACCACTCTTCTTGCTTTGTGTAAAAATGTATTCATAAGTTTAGCTGAAGTGAATACGAGGCTTTGGCAGTCTGAGTTAGTTCTTCCAAAGTTACCTTCATTTTAGTGCAGAATTCCCTCTTTCTATTTCCTTGGAAAGTGTTTCCTTGCTTAGCCCCAGGAGAGGCACGGTAGCAAAAAGAGTGGATTTTACAGACGATAACTTAGATACCCACTTGATTTGAACAATTGCAGCAGCTGAAACCTCATATTTGCTTTGGTTAAACTCCAGAATACATTTTTGCACAGAAGACTGTGGATAATGTTCCCATCTCTTACACTGGAATCAAATTAGGAGGGGATCTCCTCACAGGCAGTATGGAAGAAAGGAATGATTACACTGACCATTAACTCTTTTAATGTACAGGCACGTGAGTGTGGTTATAAGGCAGATTTTTAAAAAAGTACTCAAGTATAAACCACCTTTAATAATAATAATACACTTTATTTATCAGTTATCGAATCAGAATTATAAAGTGCTTTATGTTGAAAAATCAAGATATAACAATTCAGCACAATAAAATGTAATAAAACCAGGCCACTGGAAGTACAGAAAATGAAATAGAATAAAATACCCAACAATAAACAAACATAAAATAAGAAATACGGTGTGTGAAATAAGCAAATATAACACATAAATCATGTGAAGTAAAGAGAAACACACAGGTGACATTATTAAAAGATGAATTTTCAAAGGTGATTTAAAAGTTTGTTACTGATTCTGCAGCCTCGGGGAGTTCCAGAGCCAAGGGGCCCTGACTGCAAAAGCCCGTTCACCTGGGGTTAGGAACAGCCAACAGAGCCCTGTCTGAGGATCTGAGGCCACGCTCTGGCTGATAGAGGAGCAGTAATTCAGCATATAACACAGATCTGGTCAGAGGGGCCACTGAAGAGTATGATTTAAATCAGTCTAAGATAGTATCCCTGAGGTTGACTCATTTGTCAATGTACCAGTTTTTTCCATAAGGTATCCTTTGTTGATACTAGTGAATGGCTTTGGCTTTTAGCAGCATTAGTTATTTTAGAGAGCTTTTTATACCGTTGAGGTATTTCAGACACACATAACGAGTCATTCTTTCTTTCCCTTGACAACATTCAACAATATGCTATTGTGTCGGATGCTACAGTGGGTTTTTAGCTTCAATTAATGAGTGCGTTGAAGGAAGTGGTTCCCCTGTCAGTTCAGTGGTCTGAACGATTACTGCAGACAAATTGAATCCAGTCAGGTATATCTCCTGGGGCTGTCTAACAGAACTGGTTCCCCTGGTCATGCATGCCTGCCATTGGATGGGAGAAACAGTTAACTGTTTAACAGCCTGGGGGAGCAAAGACGGCTTAAAGCTCCAGTCCCACATTCCTAACCTCTCTTTGGGCTATAAAATGTGGAGCCCCGACTGTTCAGCTCCTCCTCCTCCTCCTTCTGTGTTTGTTTTCTGACTCCCTCCTTCTGCTTCAGAGTAGAAGAGCGGTCTGACAGGGACGTACCATTCTCCAACCACAGGGGAACTCATTTTGTTGAGTAAATAGAAGCTGCTTCATTTTAAGAGCTTCAAGCTTCCTGCCTCCCCCTGCTTTGTGTTCCGTCAGTGGACTAGCCTGAGGTGGAGAGGAACGGTTGGAGGGGGGTTCAGAGGAGGAGAGAGTGAGAACAGCATTTTGAAACCCAGCTGATCAGAGCTGTGGTATTCTGCCACAGAGGCAGAGGGAAAGGAGAGCGTGACTGGAAAAAAGACAAGAGAAAAACACAGAAAGGAGCTGAAATCTTCTGAAATCTGAGTGGAAAGAAATGTCTCCTTCCTTTAATAACAAACTGGGAACTCGTGTGAAGAGAGAGGCTCTGTGGAAAGATGTGAGAGCTGTTGGCAGGGTGGAAATCTGAAGAAGAGACGCACAGAAAAGGATCCGTCAGGTTCTGGAAACCAGCCCAGTGAATCCTATAGTCGATAGAGGGTTGAAGAACCCCCCGTGGAAAGAGGAGGGATGTCTTGGCTGTCACCCGTGTCATGGGCCAAATGGACGTGGACGGCGGTGCGAGGGGCAGAGGGAGAAGAAGATGAAGAAGGGCATGAGGCCAGCGAGGAGAGGGAGCAACGTGGAGAGAGAGTAGAGGAAGAGGAGGAGGAGAGATCTCAAGGCTGCAGGCAAGTGTTGATCTGGAGCCGTGAGACTTTAGAGGCTGTGATTCACGCTTCCTGAACTGGAGAATGGGGCATTTTCACATGTGTGTTCATGAGTGTGTGTGTGTGTGTGTGTGTGTGTGTGTGTGTGTGTCCACCTGTCAGGTTGAGGAGTCTCTAATCTTATGAAGGTAAGATGAAAATGAGCAGAGGAAAAGAAAAAAACAGCTTACCTGTCGTCCCATCTGCATCATTTTTGTCGTTAACATGCAGAAATATCAAATGTGTTCTGTTGCTGACACATTTCTGGTGTGGCCGTGTTCGAACTGCATGTTTTTCTCAGCCTCACTGACTGGTACATCCTCATTTCTGTGGCTTCACAGAAACAACACATGCTCCAGCACTGCAGTCAGGTATGCTTTAGTTTGATGATGTAATCATTGCTAACACACAAACATGACACATGCTGGAGGCCTCGTGACTTTTTTTGTCATGTCTGCTTTGATGATCATGTTATCTTGGCCATTGTTGTAAGTAGACACAAAGGTTCATAACTACCTTTTTGTGCTGACTTCCACACTTATAAAATTTTATTGACCAGACAATGTCTCACTACTGTGCCAAAAAGCCGCGTTTGTTTACTATCCCAGCAGTTATCTAACCAGTCTTATCAATATCTAACTACACTGTGATGCTGCTTCCTGAAGTGATAGTATCCAGCTCACTGTTGCTGCTCTACTGTGTGCAATCACAAGTCGGTGATAGAAAGGGTCTATTTATTTTGCTAACTGTATGCAGTTGCAATGTTCAAATCTTATATTACGATATTTACATAAGTCGTTCGTATGGTGCAGTCTCGTACCTCATACTGTATAGTGCTAAAGATGTGACAGGAAAGAGTGGGTTGCTCTATTTCCTCTTTCTCTCTTTTAGTCAATCTTTTACTTTCTCTCCATTGCTAGCGTCAATTAAAAAGTGCAGAAGGTCGCAAAAGCATAATAAAACAATAAAGTATACTCCAGATGGATTTGGGATGGTAAAGCCTTATAAAGTCACATTCAAGTCCTCTTTGTGCATCATGCATAAAGTAGAAATATCAAAATGTGTATATGATTATATTCAATAGACTTTAATATATACATTTTATACCTACAAAAAATGGGTAGTTTTACCCCTTTAGGCCTTTAAAATTTATTGAAATAGAACAGCATTAATGGGGAACATCACTCTGTCGTTGAACTGCGACCTGTCCTGATGAGGCATCACAAGCAGACACTGATTCACCTTAAAGGATCACAAGCTAAAAAACACTCCCTTAGATTATGACACCATGAATCCTACAGTTTCTGGAGTATATATAGATTTGGGAGGGAATAGAAATAAAGAGTTTGCCCTTCTACTTGCACATATTGCACATTTTAATGCAGTTAGTGCAGTTCTGTTTGTGCAAGTCGTCTTTATAGTTTATAGTGCTGATTCAGAATTGTGCCTCTGAGAGTATAAAGTTCCAGTATTTATGATGCGATTACTACTCCTCAGTTATCCTTCTGTCCTGTTTGGGAAATTCATACTCTCTCTCTCTGTGTCTCTCTCTGGCTTCCACAGCTCTGACTCAGAGGGTAATTTTGACACTCCTGAAGCAGCAACTCCTGTCCGTGCCCCTCCGACCTTCCCAGGAGAGCTGGAGAACAACAACGCTGATCCACACATAACAGGTGAGGCCACTGCTGAGCAAATGACAGACAGAGAGAGAAGAGATAAGGAGAGACAGAGTCGGCATACTGTCCAGGACGTAAACACGCTACAGTAACGCCTCGGGGCAGCTTCATACTCTGTATGTACACAGCACAACAGAGTGTTCCTCCTTGAAGTTGCCATGGAAACAGGAGTCTTTTGATGTTGCACTAGATGTTCAGGCATCACATGTGTGTACATGTGTTAGTTTTCATAGTCAACGAAAGAAAAGAAAAATTCTATAATGTGTCAGTTATTATCAGCATTATATGTTAAAATAATAACTTTAAATAGCACATTTGGGCATTTATAAATTCCACTACTGTGTCTAAATGTGGCGTATCGGGTTCACCACGCCAGAGTAATTGGATACATATGCAGTCCGACAGTTTAAGGAATGTACCTACCTACTGCATTCTAGCTTTAACTACTGTATGTGTATCAGGAGGACACGTTATTCTAACTTTTAACTTTCATATGGATCATACAAATGTTTTACCTGAGGTTATAATACCTAAGCAGTAAAACATGTCCTGTGTGCTTGGTATGTAAGCTGGTATGCAGTCTGAGTGTGGATTTTTTGTGTGATGATGGCAGAAGTGCTGTCATTGTCATTTGAATCACTTGGAGGAGGAGCCTACAGCAGAGTGTGGGAATGGCCTTTGCTCTGGAATTCAACAGGTTTAACAAAGGCTTCGGTTCGCCCTGTTTTGTATTGGTAACTGATAGAGGTCACAATGAGGGGAGTGACTGAACAAAGCTTGTTATCAGGCTGAAACCATCATGTGGCTCACTTTTTAAGGAGGTTTTTAGGAGACCATGCGTTGATGTAAGGCAGTTGCTTTATAGGAACAGCTCCAACAAACATTTACTACTTCAAACATCCCTTCCTGCAGCTATGAATGAGGACGTTTGAATCCTGGCAGGCAGGAGTTGAAGTGCCTTTAGAAACGTCTTTGAATCTAAACATGCTGATGGCTGTGTTTGTCTGTGGCTATCCAAAGTCTCCATTACTACATCAGCGTCTATACATGCTGACAGTTTAGAAGTATTTAATGGATAGTTGACTTGACAAAGCAGAAAGGCATTGACAGATGAATACCTCAGGGTTGCTTTGTATGTCTCCTGTGGGGAAATGCATGCTAAGCTGCAATATGACTTGAGTTTATACATAAAAAATAATTATCTATACTATTTCACAATGTTTTAAAAATATTGGAACAAATATTTTAATTTCAAGATAAAGATTAATATATATTACAGACACTATGCCCTAGTACTTTATACTCATACTAAAATCAGTGAAGTATATCATAACAAAATTGTAAACAAATGCAAAGCAATTCATTTTATTAATCAAATTGGACCAAATATTTGCATATTATTGCAAACAGCAGCTTTGTGAGATTTATCCCTGCTGTGACGTGTGCAGTCTTTATAAACACAAAAGTGAGAGAATAAAAGGGAATTATTATACCTTTGTACTGAATATGCATGTGGATTTAGAAGAAGATATGTTTGTATGGACATGTTGGACTGCAGGAATACTTTGAAAATGACACTCTGGCGACATGATAACGTGAATGGAAGTAGGTAGAAACACAGCAAGCTGTGCTAGTCTCCTAGCAACATAATATTACATGAATATGATGGGTATGACAGGCATACTGAAATATGTTGGTGTGTCAAAAGCTTCCCTGGAGGCAATAATGACACCACAACCAGCACTGCCCCTGTTGTCCTCAACACACAACACAAAATAAATCATAGCTCTCTCTTTCTCTCTATTTTCCAATACTACTTGGTTTAAATGTCATGGCCCTCATAGTAAGACATTGCCATGGCAACAGCAGCAATTGGAACAGTTGGCTGGATTGTAACCAATCAGATGCCACCTACATCTAAGTTTAGATTTGATTGGAGGGATTATCAAAGGTAGAGGAAGTGTGAATGCAGTTTTATTTTTTGCATTCTGAATGCGCTCATATGGTTAATTCTGGTGTTTTGTTCTCTTATTTCTTCTTTAGATGTGGATCAGGAGGAGCACCTGATAGTGACTGCTCCTGTTTGGGATCAGGATATTTCGCTCAGCCCCAACATGGGTCAGGATGAGCCTGCCGTCCCCATGGGTGGCCCACTGAAAGTAAACATCCAGACCCTGGAAGCAGAACAAACAGAGAATCTTCCAGAGGCCCTGGGCTCTGTGCCTGTCCCTACTTCATCCTCAGTGAAGGAAATGCCTGATTTGGCCAAATGCACAGCGCCATCCTCTGAGCCATCGCAAGCCCCAGTCCCCGTCCTAGTTGCAGATCCTGTCCCGGATGTGGCTTCAGCTCCAGCTCCAGCTCCAGCTCCGGCTCCAGCAGCAACTCTAACTCCAGAACCAGAACCAGAACCAGAACCAGAACCAGAACCAGTACTAGAACCAGAACCAGAACCAGAACCAGTACTAGAACCAGAACCAGTCCAGAGCAGTGAACCTTTTGCCAGCCCGGCTCCAGAGCCCTCTGAGCCGATATGTCTTGTTGAACCAGAACCACAGTGCAATGGCCTCAACCAGGCCGAGCCCACTCAAAAGACTAAAACCAGCAAGTCTAAACCTCCATCCCTGAAAATAAAGGCCTCGCTGAATGAGCCTGCCCAAACAAATGAGGAACAGGAACTTCCTGTTCCCAAGGCCACTTACAAATTTGACCCTGACCAGCTGGATGACAGCTTTAACCCTTTCACCAGCGGCGGATCCAAAATCCAGAACTCTCCTCCACCGTGTGGTTCAAGCTCTCTCCCTAGACTTGAGCCACTCGGTGGCTCCTTGCCTGTCTGTGAGGCCAGCTCAGCAGCTGCAGTAGAAGCAGAGATGATGGAGTCATCGTCAGAGGCAAAGTCTGTGTTGCTGGAGTTCGGTCTGGATGAGGGGACAGTCAGCAAGCCACCTCCGAGGAAATTAGGTGGTAAAAAGACAATCAGCAAATTTGCAGCTAAGAAACAGAAGCCCAAAGGATCAGCGGCTTCCAGCAAACCAGCACCAGAACAAACAGTTTCAGAAACAGATTCTCAGCCAGTGTCAGAAAAAGCTCCTCAGCCAGCATCAGAACCAGTTTCAGATCCTCTTCCAGAAACTGCTTTGCCAGACTCAGACTCTAATGAACCACTGAACCTTGACGATGTTCCTATTCCAAAGACGGGAACATATAACTTTGATCCCAGTCAGTGGGACGACCCGAACTTCAATCCATTTGGCAGCAATAGCACCGTGAGCAGCTCTCCAGTACTCCCTAAGACCTCCTGCAGTTTTGATCCAGACAATTTTGATGACTCTGTGGATCCATTTAAACCCTCCAAAACCCTGAGCACAGAGGACTCGTCCAGTAGCACCCCTCAGCCAGAGAAAAAAGTAAAAGACGGAGGCAAACAGAAAGCAGGGCACCCGGCAGGGGAGAAGAAAGCGAGGCAGATTCCCAAGAAAAGCAAAGAGAGGACAATCACGTAAGCCTTTCTTTCTTTCCTCCCCGGGAGTTTGCAATTTTGAACTTTTGAACAACAATTTAAGTCATTTATATTCTCTCACGTAAGGTTCAGATTACTGGTTTGATGTGTTAGTATTTACATCCACTAGGGGTAGGATGCATACCAAACAATGCTTTGAACACATGCCAAACACTTAACACTGCATACTGACCATTGATGCAATTCCCAGGTTATATATAGGTTTTAAAAGTGCTTATGGCTGCAGTGGTTTGGACCAGTTTCAGCTTTTCCAGGTCGCTCTGCATTGTGTGTTTATGCTCAAACTTGAAACTATCTGCTGAGAATCTAACATGCTAAGCTGAGCACCTTTAGTCACTCACACGCTGTTCTTTGTCTCTTCCCCTGCTCTATTCTTCATTCCCTTATTCAATATCCCCTTCATCCTTCATCCTTCCTTCTCTTGTGTGTAACGCAACCCCCCCAACCTCTGCTTTCGTCCACTTCGATTAGCCCCAGGACATCTGAACAAGTCAAGTTTCTCTGTTTTCTGTTGTAAGTACTCCCACTATCGACGCTCTCTTTCCTTCACGCATGCTGGCTTCCCATTTTACTCTCATCGTGGCATGTGCTGGGACAGAACCGACTGTTGAAGGAGCATGTGAGGAAAATAAATGTCTTCCTCGGTTTCACCTCAACTCACAAGACCATAACCTGTTACATCAACAACTTAATTTGTTCCATCTGGTGATCTTGTCAGAAGTTGGGCAGCACTACTACTAGACTAGCTATGTACATAGCTGTACCTCATTAATATATACACTATACGATCAGCTCCAAAGACATAAAAAAGCTTGCACCTCTATGGTTATAGAAAACTGGAGGAATTAAAATGGTTAAGGATCACTACTTTTGGATCTATATATTCTGACATTTGTATTCTCGTCATGTGCTTGCTTTGTAGGAATTCCTGTAAAGTTCAGAAATACGATGAAAGCCAGTCCTTGGTGCTCGACGTGTGCAATCAGGTACTGTGTGTGTTTCTGTGTGAGTGTTGGGTCAGCTGAAATGTGTCACCTTACTGCAGTGACACTGCAATGTCCATTATTCAGCAGCTGTCCAACCTCTTGGCCTCACCTCTTCACACACACACACACACACACACACACACACACTCTGTGACTCAAGCTGACAGGAGTATCATCAGTGTCTCCAGCTCTGCAGTGCTGGTTTGGCGTGGTGACAGATCAGTGATTTATCACTCTGCAGTCAAATATTAGTCTGCTGTTCCCTTCTGTCCTCAACATTATCACAGCTCTCCATCCTTAGGTGATATACTCAAGATATTATATAATACCAGAGTCTCTTAGATAACTTAATGTAACACAATCAAGCCCCACAAATGTTACCTTACATAACGTAACTTCCCCAGCATAATGCGGTTGGAATACATACATCAAACACCAGGGTTGGAGACATTGGACCTTGGGGATTGTGATAATTTTGGGGATTGTGTAATGTTTAAAGTAATGTACTGTATCCACATTGTTCATTAAAGGTTTGAATCCACAACAATACACATACACATTTTTATGTAAACAAGTGATTTTTGTTTTCTTTAGAATATATTTAACTTACTAAGTGTGAAATGAATCCGATTGTAATGTGCATTCTATCTTCCTCTCTTTCCTCCAGGAGGAGGATGAGGTGGTGGCTCAGACCCCAGAGATCTCTGAGCGAGTTCATCACGCCACGGATGAGGAAAAGCTCGCCTCCACTGGCATTATGGGCCAGACAACAAACAACCAGGAGGAGAAAGGAGAACCCGAATGCAATAAAGTACCTCTGAAAAAACAGCCAGTCAATGATATATCTGTTATGGACGGTATGTTTGTATCTTCAGTCACTCAATTGTGTGTCAAATTTAAGTTGGAATGGAACAATAGCAGATAGTGAAACAACACTTTTTTGGCAGCACAGATAGTTCTAAGGTTAATATTAAGTCATATAAATACACCCAAGATGACACTTATGTTTCCCTTTAAGTCAACTTTACCTATCTGTTCACAAAGCAATGCATGTTTTATTATGTGAAGCAGCACTAGTAGATAAGAATAATTCTACCAATAGTCATAATATCTGATCTGTTTTATTCCACCTGACCTTCTAAGTGAACTTGTGATGTATTTAAGTTGGTAGTTTTTGTGTGAAAGGTCATTTTAGCTCAGCGTATGCATGAGGCATGGTGAGGAAGTAGGAATGAATCAGAGAGGTGCAAGTTCCACTGGCACTGGAAAATGTGAACAAGGAGAGTGATTCAGTTAGTACTGCTGGAGTATTGGAGGGTGCAAAGCCACCAGAGAAAGTGTCAAACTTTATGAAGAAGAAAAATGGAGCATGCATGCTCAGCAAAATCCTGTCCTGGAAATAAGAAATGTATAAATATTACACTGGGGAACAAATGCTTCCTACAGCTGTGCATTAAAAGCAGTCTGTGTATCACAGTATCTTTTAGTCACAGAAATAAGATCTGATGAAAACTACACAAATACTGCTCATAGTCTCAATGCTGAAGTGTTGGACATTGAGCACCAGTAGGTTGCAGCATGGATCTGCTTCTCTTTTGTAACTTAGATATGGCTAATTAGTACAATTAACTGTTGTCATTTGTCACTGAATTATGTGTTTTTTTTCTTCAAAGGTCCTGAGACTAAGATTGCAGATGAGCTGGAGGAGAAGGACACCTGCAGTCTGAAAGATGATATAGTAAGTAGACTATAGAAAACACTGGGAGTGAGCAGTATGAATATTTAAACATGACCTGCTTGTTTCGCACCAACTGTTCTTCATCAAACAAAACAAAAAAAATGTTTTGTTTTTTCGTACTGGGACAACAGTTAGCTTGTGTTGCTGTCTTTTAGCTATTTCTGTTATTACATTCATATAATTTGTTAATAACACAATACTTGATAAATGCAATATTTACTCTGAGATAACCACACTTGCATATTCAGGTTATATAAATGTTTAATAATAAAATAAACACAAATGTGAAGAGCATTCCTTCCAAAACTAGTGATTTGTGGCTTGCTGTAAGGGATCTGTTTATAGAATGTAAGGGTCTTGGATGTTCTTGTCACATCTTAGACTGAGCACACAGTGTGCTTTCTGCATGTTCCACAGAGTGAGATATCCATGAACCAAACAACAAAGTTGACCAGCAGTGACAGCCCAGACACAGCAGCCCTGTTCCAGGACAACATACCTCTGAGTGAGATGGACAAGGCTGCAGTGCTAACCCTGATCAGAGAGGAGGTATGTCACTGCCACACACCCAGAAACACAGCGTCCATTCATAAAGTTTTAAAAACAAATTCTCTTCATGCCCTGTCTTCCAATCAGATCATCACTAAGGAGATCGAGGTCAATGAGTGGAAGAGAAAGTATGAGGAGAGTAGAGCTGAGGTATTGGAGATGAGGTATGAAGCGTTGCTGTTTCCCTAAACCTTGCTTCACATTTAAAATGCAAATGTAGAAAAAATATATAAATAAAGACAAAGTTGACAAATGATGTTCTTATCTTGACAGGAAAATAGTTGCAGAGTATGAGAAAACAGTTGCACAGATGATTGGTAAGTTGCTGCCACCTGCTGGTGGTATATTCTACATAGCTGTGTTTGTTTTACAGGTGTAGGGTCCAGAATGCATTATTGTAGATAGCATGTGTAGTTCATGACTGCTCCGCAACACTGTTACACCTTCAGGATACATTTAATTTAAGGATGCATCTCATAAGAACACACTGCACTTACAATATTCATGTCAGAAAGTATACAGTTTTACATTTAATAGTGGTTTTTGTTGTGTTGGGTCTGTTGCAGTGCATAGGATTAGAAATTAAACAATGACAATGAGGTTAAAGTGTCAACTCTCAGCTTTATTCTGAGAAGATTGCAGTGCACTTTTTTATTCATACATCCCCAAATGTTAGAGAACATAACCTTAAAATTAAACACCATATTTAATATTTGTATGCTGATCTGTTGGAATCTACAACTGCCTAAAATAAATGCCTCAAAAACACCAGCAGACACCAAGTCTGTACTGCAGCCAGATGGTCTTTAGAAAGTGAAACCCATGATCACTTGTACTGAGGTCAAGTGTTTGTAGTAGTTAGTGAGGTATATTCCGCTGTTTGGCTATATAAAAATAACCTCCTTGTTTGCCTTGTTTGTATGTTTTGGATCTGTGTCCTGCTAAATTGTCCTAAAACTGGAGAAAACTAGTAGTATGTATAAAAAGGTCTAAGTGTCCCACACCCAGTATGGATGTGAACATGCTCGATCTCCCTAAAGGCTGAGAGTCTGCACTAATCTTATAATCAGTGCTTTATGTCAAACACAGTGTGCTGGATTAGCCTCCACATCCAAAAAAACGGAAAACATACCACTGCCCTGCTACTTTATAACTGTACTGTCTTTCATGGTTGCATTTGACTGAGCTGTTTCAGTTCCATATTTTTAAGATAATCTAGCCTTCACTTCCTTTGAATCTTACGTTTTTAATCCTCTGTTGGTTTGCAGAGGACGAGCAGCAGCAGAAGACCCTGTCCTGTAGTAAGTCAGTCAGGCAGTTGACTGCAGAGAGGGATCAAGCCTTGGCTGACCTCAACTCTGTGGAGCGCTCCTTTGCTGATCTCTTCAGGAGGTATGAGAACATGAAGGGAGTCCTGGAGGGCTTCAAGAAGGTCAGTAGAGCTTCGGTATGACTGTCATGAGATGCTATCCGTCCACATAAAAGCCAGATCATTGACCATATTCTCTATGTGTATCTCTCCAGAATGAGGAGGTGCTGAAGAAGTGTGCACAGGACTACCTGATGCGGATCAAACAGGAGGAGCAGCGGTACCAAACCCTCAAAGTGCATGCTGAGGAGAAACTGGACAAGTAAGCTTCATCTCTGCAATTTCTGTTTGCAGGATTCAATCATTGGGCGTTTTTAACCCTAAAAATCCATTTGCATTTCAAGGCTAGGCTATATTCTCTAATTTCAACAACCTCTCGTCTCCATCACTTCCTCTCTAACAGGGCTAATGAGGAGATTGCCCAGGTACGTGCGAAGGCCAACTCTGAGGGTGTTGCACTAAACGCCAGCCTGAGGAAGGAGCAGATGAAGGTGGAGTCACTTGAAAGAGCTGTTCTCCAAAAGGTAAGATGACTGCAAACATGATTAAAATGATACCAGATTAAAAGTAGGGCATGCTGGAAAAACACTATTGTGTATAGTAGATATTAAGACTGGATGAGTTTTGTGTTTGTGTGTTGGCTCAGACTTGCCCTTACAATTCTGGAAAAAGGTGCTAAATAAGGCACGTTTAAATATTTTGTTGTCAAATGAATTGTGGTGTGTATGAGTTATTACTGCAAACAAATAAGATCACAGTCAAGCTCTTTTGTGGGCTTTATTTCACACCAAGAATACAACACTATTATATTCTGAGGTTAAGACCACAAATCTCACAAAACCTGTTGGTTCATGTCCCTTCTAGTTCTCTTTGTTTTGTTTTGTTTTCTCTTAATGTTTAGTGAGAGGGATAAAGCTTTTCATTCTGTGAACCTAGAGGAACTCTTCTTGTTCTGCTGTTTTGTGCAATTAATCGCACATTAAAGGTGTTTAAGTACAGTTATTTGAAAAGTGCTTCATTTACAGTTAAAATCACCGTAAGGTCTTTCAACATGTGCAGTCACTGAGCACAGATTTCATAAATGGATGTCTGCAAATACATTGCTATAGTATCTAACACTAGAGGGCAGTGTTTCATTTATATAAACCAGAATCTAGTGAAGAAATATAAACACCACCTCATAACCAGTCCCTGACAATAAATTAGAAAAGATGAAAAATAGGAGGAAGTTTTTTGTTGGATTGTGCTTATTTTTAGTTTAATGATGGGTGTCGGCCCAACCACAGTGCGGTCCTTTCTGCTCTATCAGTTAGTGTCTGTGGAGGAAGAAGCACTCAGATCCTTTACTGAATCGTAATCGAATCGTATCATAAATAGTTTCAATGTGGAACCAATTTTAAGTACTTTGTTTAGTATACTACTGCAATCTACTGCTACTCAAGTAAAGTACAATTAAGTAAAAATTATACTTGAGTAAATAAACTTTACATTGCATTCCACCACCAGCACAATAGATACGCCCATTTTAAATTTCATATGTTTGCACTGCGACACTTCTGCAAGCTACGGATTCAACGATTTCTATTGTCCCTGTGCAGATGCAGAATTATGTCTCTGTCCTGACATTTTGGCTTTTACACCTAAACATACCTTCCTCTCCCTGTTTCTCACAGAATCAAGAGATCGAGGAGCTCACTAAGATCTGTGATGAACTGATCGCCAAACTGGGAACAGACTAAGAGGCCTTTAATCAAACTGTCACTACAACAATTATGTAAATTATGTACATACTCACACTTAAGCACATGTCAGCCCTTCTTTCTCCCTGCTCATTGTTTTTTTTTTTTAAATATTGAAATACAGAAATACAGGTTGCACTTTGCTCTTTTGTTCTTTTCAGACTGAAACCAGAACAATAACTGATCATTGCGTTAATCATGTCACAGCACTTGCAGAAGCACAAAGTTGAGATGTATTTTAATTATTTTGAAGGAGAAACGCAATGATTTATTGAGGATTTGCAGTAAAGGCTCATTTCATGGTTCAAAGATTCATCTGTTTTTAACAGCTGGTTCTCTTCTTTGAAATATGTGTGCATTTGAAAAAATCAGCTAGTGTGTTGTATTACAAAGAATTTCATTAATCATTTTATACAGCATGTTTAACACAAAACTGTAGGAAATAATGTGGGAAATAAGGGAAAGACGATGTGGGCACACAGCACAGACATCTTTTACTGCAGTGCGTCTACATATACGTAACATTCTTTAGAAAGGACAAATCTCTCTGTTGAGTGCCTGAACTGATCCTAGCATATTAGTTTTCTGGCCTTGAAATATTTCTTGCTGCCATTTCTTTTGTGATACTGACAGTTTAAGTTACAGAGTATTTCTTAAGTTGCCTTTGAGTTTGTTCATCTTTCTTGTTTCACAGGGTAACATATACAATGTGTGATAAAATCCTCAGTTATGCACAGTTTGAAGTTGAACCACAGAGTTTGGACATCATGTACATTATGCCCCGCACAAATCTCTGGGATTGTTACATATAAAGAGCACTTAAAAGAATCATATCCTAAATTCTGATCTATGATATCTTATTCGTTTGATTGTGGTTTGACAGTGATGGGTGGAAGTTTAGTTTGAAGTAGGAACATTTTTGCTCTTGTTATACTGTAATGTTAAAACCATGTGCCATGTTTCATTTTCTCACTCTGCATTTGAGTGTGGAAAAGTTAGAATCATATTGTGTCGCTGCCATGTAGATATTTTTGTACTGTATTCATATTTTATCTGTGAGCTCAAATGTTGCTGGTGTGCCTTTATTTTGTCTATTTTGTAAAATGAAAAAGAAGAAGAAAAGATTTAGTTTTCTCAGTTCCTTCATGCAGTTCAGTTACCACCCTCTGTTGTGGACTCTGTTGCCAAAGTGTATTGTATACAGTATATATCTTTTATGATCAAAATATCCTGAACAACAATGAGTTATAGTGGGTTTGCAGTTTTGATGCTTTACCTGCGGTAGATGAATGAGCTTACATGCTGGGCTACATTACTCTTTAAGGTGAAGATCTGAGTTTTGGCAAGCAAAGGTTTATCAAGTAATAATATCTAAATAATATCGCTAACATCAGCGCTTTCTGCCCTGATTGAACCTGAAGGAGCACACTATTGCATTTTGGCCAGATGTCTTTCAGATATAAAAGGACAAATTCCTCTGTAGATCCCTTCTTTCACGTTAGCACAATCAATTGCCAAATGTCATTGTAAAATGAGATGGGTCTATGTCCTGTTGTGGTGGTGTTACATTTGTCTGAAGGTGCTTTTCAATGCAAATCCATTGTTACAGTACAATATGTGTAAATTTTATACCTTATGAAAAGAATTTTGATCCTAATATTTGTAAAATTGAAGAAAATTAAGTATACTCAGATCTTATGTTACCTGCTATATTTTGTGCATTCCTGAATAAATGGTTAAGATTTAATATTATGCCAGTTTCCTGAATCATTTAAGTTGAGCACATAACAAGTCAGACACACAAAACATGTTGTTCCTGAGTCTGCTATCATTGCAGTGATAAACATAAACACATACAAACTCTGTCATTGTTTATTCCCACAGGGAGGACAGGAGCCAAATGTCATCACTGCTTTCATGCTCTTGCAGCCAATGAACTGTTGCCTTTTACAAGCATGTCATTAGTGGCATTTTGTTTGCGAGTTAAGAGCCTGCAGTTTCCTCCAGATTTGACAGTTATAACAATGTAGTGAGCAGTTGCCCATTTCTTAACTGTTTCAGTGCCGATTAATGTTGTCAAATTGAAATTAAAGGCCGCGAATCTGGTTAAATTTGTATACTGTACATTAAATAAATCACAACTAAGGTACTTTACTGGGACCTCTAATAGCCTTACACTTGCTGTTGTGTATTTGGTCTGCTTCAGCATTCCCCTGTTGTGTTGTAACTTGATTCCAAAGATGATCTCCATCCTGCTCCCACTGGGCAAGAACAGAACTTCTTTATCTATATAGTGAATCTGTGTGACAAGAACTGGCTGACTGCTGGTATTATTTATCTTACTATCCACAACAGGTAGCTTAATGATGTTTACTCTGACAAAACAAGTGGTCAGCCTCATAAAATCTCAACTGGTTTCTAAAAAACTTCCCTGTAGCCAAACCTCTTTGAAGCAGGGTCATTTACCAAATGTGGCCAGTAAGTTTTATTGTTGTAGCCATGCAGAGCCACCAGATTTCTCCATGTATAACAATCTATAAGGAATTGTAACAGTACATCAGATGGAGAAAAAAGTAGTCGTCTTGTTGGAAAACTCAAAAGGTGTCACTGTTTGAAAATGATACAAAAAAACTGAAAATACTAGATAAATCAGCAAAAAAGGGTACATTCGATTCACAAACCCAGCCCATGTATTCTTTTTACTGCAGCTTCTTGGTCTGCTAAACAGTGGCAGAGAATTTCTGATGGTATAATAATGCATTCATGTCAAATTTGATCTGCTGACAATTCACTGTCTGGCTCAAGGACACTACAGAAACTTAGATATTTGCTGACACACAATGTTTTTTTCAGCACACATGCATCAGGAATTAAAAAAAAGATTATTGTGAAATGTTGATTAAAGGACGATGTGTAGAAGGCTATACAGTCAGTAGAAAGGTTAGTAAAACATGTCAGGCTAATTATAGTCATTTCTTTAAGTTTCATGTCAGTAAATTGAAGAAGTACTTGTTATTACATACGTCTCAAATGTTTATGTTCTTAATTACATGTACATTATTCACATATTTGTCCAAAGGTTTGTTCATTTAGTCTAGTTTGTGCCAAGATCGGGCTTTGTGGCACCTTCTGGCCACATGGTGGTGTCCTTGAACACCACAGTGCCACACGCACAGGCCAGTCCTGATGGGACACTGAGTCTAATCTGAGGGATCAGTCAGGAGGTTTAAGCATGACAGTTTAGTTAGTTAGTTAGTTAGTTAGTTAGTTAGGTAGTTAGTTAGTTAGTTGGTTATTTAGTTAGTTAGTTAGTTAGTTAATTAGTTAGTTAGTTGTATCTAATCCATGTTTCTTACTTTCTTGCATGTTCTTACTTACCTGGGGATCCCTTAAATAGCAAAGTAAGTCAAATTCTGTCTACCATGGTAGACAGAATGGATCCCAACTCTCCTTTTGAGAACATTCACCTTTTTTTTTTTGCACAAACTCTTAAGAAAATATCTGTCTCTCTTTGACTTGTTTTGTCAGCCACTCCTTTACCTTGTCTATATTGTCACCCATGGTATGATGGGAAGAAAGCCAGTGTACTAGACTGAGCTTGTTGTAAATGGTTGTCTACAGTTGGCTTTTATACAGTCTATATACTGTCTATATGCACCAAAACGCATCTAACAGTAGATAGTAAACAACAATAGGTCACTTGATTCAATTTGAACATCAAAAATATGATTAAATGGAACTTTAAAGACACAGACGTAGCACCTAAGAGCCCACAACACCCCAACATTAATGGTGTAAAAGTCATCGAGTTCACTCCCAAACCATCGACAGTGAGCTGTGAGGTTTAAGCTTTTTGGCATTCTCAACCAAGAAGGAGAATGGTTTCTTCCAAGGAAAGTACAAAAAGAACATTATTTCATATCATAATACTTTAATAAATAAACTCCACAGAAGTGAGTAATCCTTTAACTTCTTGATTCAAACACAAAAGGCACATTAAATGCAGTGTCTCACATTTAAGACCATATAAAGGCCATAATATGCTGGAAACGGAAGTTTTACATAAATGTAGAGTTTCATAACCCACAGATGCAGGTCCATGATCTTTCCAGCGCCTGCAGTGTGTTTGTGTAACCCTGGTGACTGGACCGGAGAGGGCGGGTCCAGGATGCTGAGGCGGCCTCTCATTGGCTGCCCTGTGTGGTGAGGAGTGGGCTGGGAGCGCGCGGCCAGCTGTGAGGGGAGCAGAGGAAACAGCCAGGAGAGTACTAAAGGGACAAAGACCCGCTGGTCCACATCTCATCCTCTCCAACAGGTCGCAAAACTGAAAAAGTCTGCGTATTGGAAAGGCTGTGCTGCTCGTTCTCCGTCTGTCAAAGTAAGTTGTTTCCTTTAAACTCTCTCACGCGAGATTTGACCACTGATGGGAGTTCGCACGTGCGCGTGTGAAACATTGAGACTCATTAGAAGTGAAGGGTTTTCTTATTTCGTCCTCTTTCTTCGACTTCTAACAAAACAATGGCAGACAATTTGCATGTTTCTCCCTTTTAACTAATTGAATTTAATTTTACAACCCATATTTGATCTGAATTTAAGTGTTCAACCTCCCAAAAGTTAGCTTCATGAGAACACGGGTCACTGCAGTGTGTTGCATTGTCGTAAAGCCTAAATAACAAGCTACAATGGAAAAGGAATGAGCATCAGTCTGCTGTGTATCTTTACTCTGGTGCTGACATTGGACACATTTCCTGAGGAAGCTGCAGGACTCTTCTGACTCTCTTGGCATTCATGAAGTCTTTCTTTTGTCAGCCACTGGGAATATTGGGATCTGTGCTGGCCAGGGCTTAACAGACACTTGATGGTTGATTTGTTGGTTTCTGAAATGAACAATAGACTATACAAGAGCTCTGGCTTTGACTGAGAAAAGCAATAAATTCAGCATATGGAATTCTGGGCTTGACCGTGCTTGGCTATCTTTCACTCACATGCAGCTTTCTCCTATCTTGTTGGCCTTATTGTTCTCATGCAGGACTACGTGTTTTACACTTTCTGCAATGCTGAACTCTCCATAAGTCTGATATAAGTTAAGTTTCTGAGCCAGTTTGAAGTCTCAACTGTGGCCATTGTTTTGTGGGGTGTGGGTGTGTCTCCACTGCTTCTGTAAGCAGTTTTATCTAGAGCATACGTATAGTGTTCATTTTTCATGAATAGGTATGTGGAGTTGACACGTGCTGACTGGAGTTATGTGTGTTCACTCAGAGCTGCACTCTGAACTCTACTAATCTAAAATGTATGTATGGTTGATTCTGTCACTCTAACAGCATTGGGTAATAGCTCCTTCCTCCTGCTGAACATGTTCCTTTCATGGGAAGATAAACCAGATGTTTCACTCTGAGGATCACAAGCTGACATCTTATGCGGTCTGACAAGTTATTGACTGTGTACTCCAGGGGTGTTTTTTTTAAGCCTGTGCGCTCTGCAGTTTGTTTGGCTGGTTACTATGACGTCAACTCGGAAAGCAACCCCCCCCCATCCCATCCCCTTAAACACACTAAAGGCGTGGAGGTCTCCTTACTTTCACTGTCTTCCTCCCTTCTCTTTACTCCAGGAACATTCCTCCCTAGGGGCTTTTGGTCCCTTAGTTGACACTTTCATGGTTTGCCATGAAATATCGAGGTGGAGTCAACTTTCCGTCTGAAGCTCAGTTGCGCAGCCTCCAGGCACAGATCAGCAGATAAATGAGAGGGGCAGCAGCACCCACCCTGCAGGAGCCCACATTTGCTCTCCATTAGGAAGACACAGAGAGGAATCCTTGTCTCAGCAATATCATCTTCATTCTCACCCAAACCTTCCCAATTTCTCCTTCGTTTCTCTTTTATTGGCAGTGAAATGTATTTTCACTGTTCGCTCAATATACTGTAAAACTGCGGTGAATTCAGTTTGTGATTCACGAACCTATACTTGTGGTTGCGTAGAGGCCAATGAGGGGTCTCTGGGTTCCTGCTGAGGGCCAAACCAAACTGTTCCTGCACAAGACTGTATACTGCTCACTCGCTTAAATTATGGACAGAACTGCCACACACCACAAATTACTGTGTGCCTCTGCAACATTCAGCCCTCAGTTTAACTCTTTGGAATTGGAAAATGTTAAGTCCATCTCGTATAGAAATATTCAAAAAGCATACTGCCCTACAAAGGTACAGTACAGTAACTATAGAATTGAAATTCAGAAAAAGGGGTTAGGGTTTGCAAACTGTAAAACTAATAGAAATCAGTTAGATAATTGAACAGCCACAGAACATACACAATACATTTAAAATGCAGATACCACACGCTGCCTTTGGATAATCTTCACAGGATGCTTAAATAACTGTAATAGCTATCTACCAACAAAATGTGTTGAGCTTTCTCTTCCATTTAAACTAGTTTGTTTAAGAAAATGTACTTTTGTTTTATTATTTACAGTCCATAATATTGGAATCAAGTGTGATCATATATTGAAATCAATATAATGCTGTTTACAATTAAGTAGAGTCAAAAAATGAGATGACAGCTAATGAGAAGCTAGCTAGCTACCTGTAGCAGGATCTGGCTGTTTTTCTTCCTTCTCCATCATGAATTGATTTAGTTACCGCTTTATTTAATTGTGTGGAATAATAAACTTGATATAACTCTTTTACTTTAGCTGTAAAAGGTTATTTAGCTACTAAAACATATGTCTTTGTAGGGCAGTGTAGTCCAGTGTGATGTTA